TGGGCCTATATAGATAAGCAGAGTGGCGCCTAAAAATATTTAAACGGTCAACCCTAAGATGCTTACACTCTTATAGATGAAGGTCTAGTGATTTGAGATCTTCCTAGGGTTTGCGGTTTGAGTCCCCTAAATGACTTACATTGTTTTCTTACCCTTTTTGCAGTGGGAAGAGAAACACCGTATTTCCACACTCTAAACAAGGTCGAATAAGTTTACTGAAGATTAAATGGTATGTCTCGCCATCGAAAGTCTGATGTAATAAAATATTTGATAAGACTCGGCAAGTGCACGATACTTAGGAAATGTTTCATCAGTATCACTGAGTTAACACTTGAGACAAAGTTTCTTTCTGAACCACTGATTAAACACTATCACCTGATTCTGCACAATAATTCTATAACTCACTTCTAGAAATGACGTACAGAAGAGGACAGAATCATTAGTGATAGGATTCGTTAGAAGAATATTATTTTCACTTTCACGGACCTCAGTAGTTAATGATTCTTAACTATCAATATGTGAAAGGCTTCACTGTGTAAGTACATTGAGGTTCGTGGTTATTCATGAATAAAGTGTTTTCTATATACAGTGAACATCATTTACTTAGTTAAGTTCCCAGTTATCAAAGTTTCTCGCTTTGATTTAAGCAGAGTAAAATAGCAAATGAGTGATTCATGGGATGTGCGTTGGTAATGAGTCAACCTGTTTGATCCCATAGCCTCAAATGCGCCTGAACATGATCATGCCACAATAAAATGCATGTTGAGTACACATCTTTCTACAAGATATTTCCAGACACGGTTAACATAGATCTAATTAATGGTACAAATGAAGGTCTAGAAAAAAATTGTTTCGATCAGTGATGAAGACGACACAGGTAATGTTTGAAACCATGAATTCCTAAAGAGAAAATTTGAGTTGGAAAGAGAATAATGTACTTCATATGAAAAGATACAAGTTACGTATAGTGACCATTTCTGGGTAGCTGAGCCATGCTATACTTATTGTGTTCAAGCTTTCACTGTTTCTGACCTTTTCCATGGCCTTAAATATTGAATATAAATCTCAGTTATTGTGTATTTCTCTTCAATTGTCGTATGGCCAAGAACCAATACCGCTACGCTTCCTCTTCATAGCATTCATTAATTTTTCATAATATCCCAAACGTATCCAGAACTTGATTCAAGGTCATATAAAGTAAGGAACTGTACTTAACAGTCTTGTTCTTCACTTTCACCGTTTGTTGATACTACAGTCTTCATATTGAATGATCTGATCGTAATTCGATGGTACTGTAACTAGTGATTGAGTAAATTGAGGTTTACTTCCTTTAAGAATTTTAAACTACTTTTCGTCCGTTCGTTACTTTCTGTCGCATGGATTATCCTTAACTGACTTTCGTTCTCTAGCAACACACTTAACTGGTTTGTCTTTCATTTCAATTGTTTTACCGCAGTATCTATATTTTCCTCTGGTTATTCACCATCTCGATCACCAACATAGGTAATTTATCCCCATGGTTGGATGGGAATATTATGACGTCTGAACTCATGCTGGGACCACTTCTCGCGGTTGCTACTTAGCAGTGACTACCCTTTCGGATTATCCAGGCATCATCGCTAGTTTGATGACGGAATAGCACAGATGTGATTTTTTACAACGATGAGTTAGAAAGAATAGGTACGAGAAACAGATTGCGAACTCCGTCAAATGCGCTTGTCGATGGCGTGTGACTGGATAATGAGCGTCGGTTATCCTTGATATCCACGAAGATTGGAGGATTGTTCAACGTCCAATAACCTGACTGTTGGATAATTTGGCTAGAGTTCTAAAACATTTCAAGGGTAATTCAAACACACTATGTAATCCTGTATACTAATAATATATTTCTGCATGGGCTGGTACACGCCGTGTTTACAGGCATGGTCTCTAAATTACAACATTCGTTGGCACACAGCATGCTGCACAACTAATTAAGTCTACAGTTGTTATAAAGTAGACTCGTAGAGCGCTTGCTGTAAGCCGTGACCTTGAGGAGGCGCGTGCGCCAAGTTTGTTCCAGACGTCAGAAGTTCCATAGCTGTGCCCTCAAAGCAAGATTC